TTGGCTCAAACTACTATCTATCCATTTGCAGTCAAGTGCTTAACCAGTGCGCCATCTCCAGGGCTTTTTCATAAAACCAAACCTACATCAAACCGATTGTCAGAGTCTGTTCCGCCTCCTCGCTGTTCTATAAAACGTGTCAGACACTGTAAATCTTTATGGGCTGGTTCGTTTCAGCCCCCTACCTTGTGGTTCACAGCCTGGTGCTTAACCTACTGTGCCACTTGGGCATTCTAATTCAATATCTTCAAGCATCCTAAAACACATAAGGGAGCCCAGTAACGGATATTTCTTAGCTATAAATAAACACTTCATCCCCCAGAAATGTGAAGCTACTGGGCTTGCAAGTTAAGGACCACAGTCCTTGGGGACATTCAGATCAATTGGTGTAACATTGTTGACAAAAATAATGTCCTAACCCTACTCTGGTGACCAGCGCCTAGGATCTTAAAAGCTTATGAGCAGCCACTGAAGATACAACTACTGGTCTCTGCCCTGCTTAGAGCACAGAAGAGTGATGAAAACCTAAGACTGAAGGCAGAAATTAGTCCAAAGATCTGACTTCTTGCACCACAGCCTCCTCTAGCCAAAACCAGAAGAACCAGATGGTGCCCAGCTACCAACAGGAAAACGTTGTAAACCACGTTGAGGAGTTTTAACTTTCTCCCAAGACCGAATTTTAAGCAAGGGATTGCCTGGGTAATGGGGTCTGGTTGCAACATATAGAATGGTTTCATGAAGGAGAAAAGTTATGGCAGCTTCATTTAATAATATAGGACACTCCTCTCACAAAACCAGAATACATATTCTCCAGTGCTCATGAAACATCCTCCAGGGTAGACCATATATCAGGGTATAAACCAAGTCAAACAAATCTCACTGTCACCAAGTTCCAACTCACAGTGACCCTACAGGACCGGGTCCGTCATCTATAGATCTGACCCAGTGAGTGTTGGAGACCATAACTCTTTTCAGGATAGAAAGCCTTGTGTTTATCCTGTGAAGCGACTGATGGCTTCAAACCACTCACCTTGTGGTTAGTAGCCCAACCCGAAATCACTACGCCACCCAGGTACCATAAAACAAGTATCAATACAGTTAAAAGGGCTGGAATTGGAATTAAATACTCTATTCTCCAATCAAAATGGAATAAAATTAGCAGTCAGTAACAGAAGAGATTTGGGAACATTCACAAATACACGGAAATTAAACCGTCTATGCTTACATAATTAATGAGTCAAAGGAGAAGTCATAGGGGAAGCGTCAAGGTGCTTTGAGAGGAACGAAAACAAAAGCACAGCACACTCCAACGTATGGGATGTAGCAGAAGCAGTGCTCAGAGGGAAATGTAAAGGCCTCCATTAAAAATGAAGAACAGCTCACATGTAACCTGACCTTCCATCTGAAGAAACTAGAAGAAACGCAAACAAAATCCATACTACCCAGAAAACTCACTGCTTTCCAGTCAATGCCGATTCTCAGCGCCCTGCTGTGGGTTTCCAAGACGGTGCTGATGGGAGTCAAAAGCCCAGTCTTTCTCCCAAGGAGCTGCAGGTGATTTTGAACTGCTGACCACACAGATCGCTGCCCAACTTGTAACCACTACATCACCTGGGCTCCCATTTAAGCCAAAGGAAGAAAATTATAAAGATTAGCGTGTAAGTAAACAACACAGAGAATACAAAAACAGTAGAATCAACCAAATCAAGTCACTGTGGAAAATGCTTTGACAGTTCCTCAAAATGTTAAACAAAGTTTCAACACAGCCCTGCAATTCCTCACTTAGTAGATATTCGAACTCATGGCAACCGCATGTGCTATGGAGTCGAACTGCTTTACAGGGTTTGCCAGGGCTTTCCTCCACAGCACAACAGAGTGGGTTCAAACACCAACCTTCCGATCAGCAGCCAGCCAAACCCTTTGCACCACCAGGGGCCTTTTCTAGCATAGGTTGTTGCTGTGTGTTGTGAGGTCGATTCCAGCCCCTAACAACCTTACAGATGTGCAGTTCCACGGGAGAAAGGTGTGGTCATCTGAGATCTTTTGTGGCAGTTCTACTCTGTTCAGTAAGGTGACCATGAATCCCAACCAACAAGAAGTCAGTAGCTTCCTAGGACATACCAGGAGATACCTCCCCCCAAACCCAATCAATGCTCTTTGTGGTTTTTTTATGTGAGGGGGATTATGCCTTTGGAGCTTGTTTCACCAGGTCAGACTGCTAATCAAACTTTCTATTTAGAGGTTCTGAAAGGATTGCATAAGGTCTGCAACAGAAAAGCCTGATTTGTGGCAGACAGGGGACTGACTGGTTTTGCCACCATGACAATGCCCCTGCTCATGCAGCCATCTCAGCGCACCCGCTTTTGACAAAAAACAGCATGTCTCTCTTGCCCCTTATCTGACCTCACCCTTCTTTGTGCTTTTTGTTTCTGAGAATGCAGAGGGGGACATGAAGGGACAGCGATTTGACGATGTAAAAGAGGTGAAGAAAAAAACAAGGGAGGTGGTGTCAGCCATCCAAACAGGTGAGTTGGAAAACTGTCTCCCAGAATGGAATCGCAGATTGGACAAATGTATTAAATGTAATGGAGAATACTTCGAAGGCGATAAGGTTATTTTGCAAAAAAAATAAAATAAAATAGTAGTAATAATAATTAATACATAGCTGGGGGGGGGGACCCAGTTTTTTGGGTACCCACTCGTAAGCCCAACTCCAGTGTAGCACAGGATGTCCAAGACTAATCTTGATGAAAGCAGATTGCCGCATCTTTTTACTTCCAACTGACCAGTAAATTAACCATTGACCTTTCCATTAGCAACCGAGTGCTTTAACCATTGCTCTGCCAGCGCTCCTTTTTGCTAGGACAGCACCAAGCCCACCGCCCCTCGGTTCTGACACCCCGCAAGCCTACAGGCCAGAGCCCATTTTCCCCACAGGGTTTCCTAGGCTGAAACGTTGACAGGACTTTCTCCCGGGGCGGCTGGTGGGTTCCAAGCGCTGACAAGCTACTTAACTTCTGCACCACCAAGCTCCGCTTGGTGTATACTTGTCAGTTACCGTGAAGTTGGCTCCATGCACAACGCTCTCAAGTCGCTCTTACTTACGGGCCCTTAAAACTACAACTCCCGTGAACAAAATCCGAACCGCAAAGGCTCATGGGATACACAATCTCGGGACAGTTCCTCTCCGCCTCGGCCCTTCGGCCACACTGCCGTCAAATGCTTCCTGCTGCAAAAGAACCGACCACACGTAGTTTTCCCTTCTGCCGTCAACCAACACGCGGCTTCCCTCCCTGGAAAAAGCTCAGCGCGCGACCAGAGTGACGGAGCGCTTTACGACAGTTGCTTTGTGGCTGCACTAGAGGAGAAAGATGGCGACATCCGTGGTAGCTGCTCCAGAATTGGGACTTGCACCGGCTTGGGGGCCGCAGGCCCTCACCCCCGATTGGGAAAACCGAGAAGTCTCCACAGGGGTAAAGAAGGAGTCGGGCGGTGTTCGGGAGCTGTGTTCAAGGCTCGACGCAATGAGAGAATAGGCCTGAGTGGTGGTGGAGGGGAATAATGTGGGCTGTGGTGTGCTCTAGGCAGGGGGAACAGTATGTTGGGGTTTCAGGAGGACAGTACGTTGGGGTTTGGGGGGGACTTTCATGGCGGAAGGTGAATTGAAGCATAACGTTCAGGGATCCTACGGGGCCACTGAAGCTCTTGAACTTAAGACCTGAGTGTGCATTTTTTGCGATTTGAACGATGGAACTCTGAACCCGTGGAGCGTTGAGGGCTCGAGATGCTTGAAAAGGGGTCTGCAACCATACGTTTCTGCCCTGGGGGCCAGAGAGAGGGGTCATTGAGGAGCGGGTGTTCTGACGAAAGTGGAAAAGCCCCCAAACTCACACCCTTCTCTCTCTTCCCAGACCACTATCATGGCTGTGCAGTTTGACGGGGGCGTGGTTCTGGGCGCCGACTCCAGGACAACCACTGGGTGAGCTCGGACAGATGGGGAAAGCCTGTTCTCCCCTCCTAGCCAGTCCTCCTTGCCCTACGCCGACTTCCCTGGGAAGGAAGGTCTAGCCCGCGCCCTGGGAGAGAAGGATTTCTCCCAGCTTCCACTTCTTCCCAGTTCCCTTAGCCGTAGGTGAAATCCTTGCAACACTCTTGTTTTCCATCCAGCCCCCCAATAATGTGGATGAGAACTAATAGGCAATCCTAGAGTGCTTATCCCTGAGCCCTAGGGGAGTGGAAAGCATTGGGTTGGAGATGGGAGATAGGGTGGTCCCAGGGTCCCTTCCCAATTGTTCTGCTGTCTTGCAGGTCCTACATCGCCAATCGAGTGACTGACAAGCTGACCCCAATTCATGATCGAATATTCTGCTGCCGCTCAGGTTCAGCTGCTGATACCCAGGCTGTAGCTGATGCCGTCACTTACCAGCTAGGCTTCCACAGGTACGTGTGGGCAAGGGAAGGAGGAAATATCCCTGAGGAGTTGGGGCCTGGGGGTCTTGTCAGTGACTTGAGTTCCAGGGCCTGACAGCTGTCTTCCTTGTGCCCTCTCTCATCGGTTAGCATTGAGCTCAATGAGCCTCCACTGGTACACACTGCAGCCAGCCTCTTTAAGGAAATGTGTTACCGATACCGGGAAGACCTGATGGCAGGAATCATCATCGCAGGCTGGGACCCCCAAGAAGGAGGGCAGGTCAGAACCCCCAGGGAAGACAAACGGACCATGCCTTTGGTCCTTACCCCACCCTGGCCACTTTGTTTTTCTCCATCTAGTTTGGATCACACTTCAACTATTAACTCTCCCTAGATCAGCCCCATGGTGGATAGGTGAAGGTCTGTGTTGGGGGAGGAGACAACTGGTGACTTCTCCCTCCATCTGGCAGGTGTACTCAGTGCCCATGGGGGGTATGATGGTGCGGCAGTCCTTTGCCATTGGAGGCTCCGGGAGCTCCTATATCTATGGCTATGTCGATGCTACCTACAGGGAGGGCATGACCAAGGAGGAGTGTCTGCACTTCACTGCCAATGGTGAGTCTGGGCCTGTGAGCTTCAACCCCCTTACCCAAGCCAGGCCAACATCCCGCCCTCCTTGCAGGGATCCCAGCATCAGTATCGGATCCTGACTCAATGTTCTCCTTTTGCCCACAGCTCTCGCTCTGGCCATGGAGCGGGACGGCTCCAGTGGAGGGGTGATCCGCCTGGCAGCCATTGCAGAATCGGGGGTAGAGCGACAGGTTCTCTTGGGAGACCAGATCCCCAAATTCACCATTGCCACCTTACCACCCCCCTGAAGCCTGCCATTATGAGATATAAAAGACCCGCCCCACCCCCCTCGACGTGGAATTCAGTAAAGTTTGACAAAAAGAATCTGTGACTTGGAATTCTTTTCTTGACCTTAAGTATGCTCAGGTGGTATGTGGTGGGTTAAGTGTTGAGCTGCTAGCTGCAAGCTCAGTGATTCAAACCCAGCAGATGAGGCTTTCTACTTCCATCAAGGTGTACAGCCTTGGGAACTCATGGGGGGCATGCCTGCTCTGCCATATAGGGTTGCAGTGAATCTGAGAAGCCTGAACTTGTCTGGCCCTCTCCTGTTCGTACAGACAACTGCACTACAGTGAACCTTCGTTTATCGCGGCTAATCGGTTCTAGACCCTACCGTGATAAATGAAATTCCGCGAAGTAGGATTCCTTATTTGTAAATCAAATATTTTCGTAGTTAGAGCATAGAGGACATGAAAAAACACCCTTTAGTCACCATTACACTCGTATTACCCAATTTATTAAACGAAAAAGGGAAAATACAGTAAAACATTTTGGAAGTTACAATTATCATTTATTATTTATATTTATGGCATCTAGTTTACAGTATTACATATTTCACATACAGTATTATTATACATAGTTCTTACAAATACTGTAATCAATAGCCTATGAAATGAATTAAGGGAGGTACTCTACAGGTGGGTCGCCGTCTTTTTCCTCTGAAGGAGCGGGTGTAGGCAGTGGGTGCTGTTACGCAAAAACCGCGATAGAGTGAAGCCGCGGAAGTCGAAGCGCGAAGTGGCGAGGGTTCACTGTATATGAATAGTGCGGCCTCCAGATGAGTAGTGTTCGTTTGAGATGAACTTACTTGTCACAAAAGACTCCGCGGCCCATTTCCGATTTACTTTTCCTCCTTTTTAAAAATTTTTAGTCACTCAGACCACTGTTCAGGTTTGAGAGAGAAGGAATCGAGGGATTTGTGTTTTTTAACTGTTAAGGAAACATACCGCGTCTGTGTGTATATGGTATATATAAATATATCCTGTCCATGCAACCCTTCTCAAGAAATGAAAACAACAGTAATATCTTGTCCAACCCTCCACATATGTGGTTCTCTTACCCACTCCCCACCTTGGAGGGATAGTTTTCTAATCTTTCTCCAGACCATATTTTTCCCTCACTGTATCCACGTCCAAAGGGTGGTTGCTCCAATCAAAGGCCCAGCCCCTTTAGTTCAAGCCCAAGGTGGAACCAGCATTCTGACCCAGACTGCAGTTGTCTCCCCTCCACCAGCTTCCTGACAGTTACCATTGGTGGCTCCTGGCCTTAAGGCCACAAAGACTCTAGATCTTTGACCCATCCTCATGGTCGCTTCTCTCCACACTCACCTCTCACCTTCTCTGGTAGTCAACAGCAGCTGGAGGTGGGAGAAAGGTGAATATTGTCAGTGCAGGTTAAGGTAGACTGGGTGGGAGAGGGCCAGCACTAAGTGATGTGGGCTGGCTTGACGCCACCGCTCCCATAGCAGGTGTCGTGATGCTGAGGGTGGACTCTGGCGCCTCTTCAGCTAGGGAGCTCAATGGCACTCCATGGCAGGGATTAACATTCTTAATCTTCCCCCAGTTTCTTCTCCAGTGTTTGAATCAGGGAATTGTGGGAGGTACATTTGAAACACTTGTTCCAGAATGACACTGCCCTGGAAGGTATGAGGCAGAGAGGCCCTGGATGAACGAAAGATGAACAGAGAACACGTGTCTTAAAATAACCAATGAAAATGCTTTGTCTTCCTGCCGACATCTGTTGTCTGTCTGGTGGCGCTGTTTGATTCCTCTCACTCCAGCCAGTCTCACAGTTCTGGAAGCGCTCTGGAAGTCATCAGAAGTCAGCTGCTCGGGCAGTCCCATGTGTCTGGGTAGAATTTATGCTACATGGGGTTTTCTTCTTTTGATAAATCATTTTATTGGGGGCTCTTACAATAATCCGACGTCAATTGTATCAAACATATTTGTACATAGGTTGCCATCATCATTTTCAAAACATTTTCTGCTTGAGCCCTGGGTATCAGCTCTTCTTTTTTCCCTCCCTCCCCTGTCTTCCCACTCTCGTGAGCCCCTGATAAATTATAAGTTTATTATTATTTTCATATCTTACACCATCCGCTGTCTCCCTTCACCCACATTTTTTATGTTCTTCCCCCTAGGTGGGGGGTGGGGGTATTATAGGTCCATCATTATAGTCGGTTCCCTATTTATCCCCCTTCTGCCCCCACCTTCCCCCTACCCTCATGGTATTGTTGTTCCCATTAGTGTTCCTGAGGGGTTTATCCATCCTGGATTCCGTGTATCTTATCTGTACCAGTGTACATGCTCCGGTCTAGCCGGATTTGTAAGGTAGAACTGGGGACGTGATGGCTGGGGAGGGGAGGAAGCATTAAAGAATTAGAGGAATGCTGTGTGTTTCCTTGGTGCTATGTTGCACCCTGGCTGGCTCGTTCCTTCCTTGTGACACTTCTGTGAGGGAATGTCCAATTGTCTACAGAAGGGCTTGAGTCTCCACTCTGACCTCCATCGTCTGCATCGGATTATTTGTTTTGGGTCATCTGATACCTGATCCCGTCAACACCTCATGGTCACACAGGTTGGTGTGCTTCCTCCATGTGGGCTTGTTGCTTCCCTGCTGGATGACCACCTGGGGTTTTCCATGGCCAGTTGTTCAGAAGCCACTCGCTAGGCCCTTCTCCCAAGGTGCCTCTGGGTGGAGTTGAAACTTCCACCCTTTTCGGTAGAAACCACGTTTGCATCACCACGTCTTTCGCCACTTCCTGACCATCTCTTGCTCGGATGATGAAAAACCAAACCCACTGCCATCAAGTTGATTCTAGCTCATAGTGTCCTATGGGAATAGACAGAGTAAGAACCGCTTCTTACACGTTCCAAGACTAAATTTTTTTTCTCATTAGCTTAGGGTCATTTTACTTACATAATTTCTAAATTATTTGATGTTATAAAATGTATTTTTTTAAATCATTTTATTATGGGCTCATACAACTCATCACAATCCATATATACATCAATTGTGTAAAGCACATTTGTACATTCATTGCCCTCATCATTCTCAATACATTTGCTCTCCACCTAAGCCCCTGGCAT